GCACACACACACACACACACACACACACACACACACACACACACACACACTTTTTTTTTACCCTGTGACAGAAAACAGTCAAAGGCTTCAGTTTAGGAGTCCAACAGGCAAGGCTTTAAATTATACCCGGTCATTTATGAGCCGTGTGATTATGGATGATTATTTAATTTTTGTTCAGCAACAGTTTCTTCCTCTGAAAACCAAGAATATTGATAGTGTGCACTGCATTCAATCTTTGTGAATATTAAACGGAAATGCACACATGCTGTTGTTATACTGTGAGTGCTCAAAAATGTTAGTGAAAGTTATTAACACTGGAGCGAATTAATACTTTGATCACCTTTGCCGCTCTTTTCTTTTTCCTCTTGAATTTCCTGATGAATGCTCCTGGTTTATGTGAACTGCTTTTGCATTCCTAGCCCACTGCATTTTCACACAGTATCTCATTGGACACGATGAACACTATGAGGCTCATGGGGTAACAATTATTATCCCCTTTATCTTTTCAAAGAGCACACAGTGGGTAAAAGGTAAAAACACAATGAAAATTAACTAATCTTTTCACCATGCTGCCTTTTAGAAGGTCATTTTAAATAGACCACTCTGGGCAGCAAATAGTCTAATATTGATGGCATTAGGTTGACATAGTCATTCTGAAGAAGACTGCTTCTCACTTGTTGTAAACATGTATAATAGCAGGCATTTATTTAGCAATTGATCTGGACCCCACACTATATGAACTATGAACTTCTACTATATATGGAGTATCTCCATGCAATTGACCTCCTTTACAAATAAGCAAACTGAGAGCTAGTGAGAGATGAAGCCCGGATTTGAAGAGGCAGTTTGCCACCAGCCCCGTGCTCTTAACCAGTAAATTTCAACATCACATTGTTTAAAAAAAAAAGAAAGAAACACACCCAAAAATAAAAACTTTGCCTCATTGAAATATTACACGCTAAATAGAAATCATTTTCTAGATTTATACTCTCACAGGCAAGACAGCCAAATAATTGGCAGAGCCTCGTGCAAAATGAAAATATAGGGCCTTTTATTAAAAAGTTATTAAGAATTTCAATTAAGCCCTGGCTGGGTAACTCAGGTGGTGAGAGCATTGTCCATATACACCAAGGTTGCGTGTTCAATGCCTGGTCAGGGTACGTACAAGAATTAACCAATGAATACATAAATAAGTGGAACAGCAAATCAATGTCTTTCTCTGTCTCTCTCTGCCTCTGTCTCTGCCTCTCTCTCAAATAAATAAAAATTTAAAAAATAAAAAGAATCTCAATTAAAATTTGAGAGTAGAGCAGTAAATCAAGTCTGTGGTCCTTTAACTTGTGAGACCCTATGTGATTAGAAGATTGCACACCCATGATGTGGGCCCTACTCACCAGGTCCAGAGCCCTGAACCTGGCATTGACCTTGTGCAGCTATCCTCCTACAGACTTGAACGAAGTCTTGCGATATGGAAAGAACAGAAGTACTGGAGACCATTGATTAAGTCTGTCCCAGAATCACTCTAGCTTCTCCATGGAGAGCATCCCAAGGCAATGGGACCTTTCATGAATTAGAGCTGGGGAGGAAAGCAAAGCTCCCAGGCCACAGGGCAGACTTGTGTTCTCAGAAAGGAGAAGCATAGCCCACTTTTTATCTTAGCAGTCCAGGGTGAGATGGGAGCAGGATGTGGGGAAAGAAAGAGGAAGCCCTGGGGAACTCCCACCAACCCCATAAAGAGGGAGTTTCCCTTGTGCCCCCCCAGAATGGTGGCAGAGACCTGTGAAACATAACCATGCCCCTTGGTTGTTTGGAAGGTGTCCATGTTCATTTATGCTTCAAAATAATAAACCTTGCACTGGTCATTCAAATGCTTTGCTTTTGGCCTTTTAAAATTATAATCAAAAGTAGCGTTTTTTTAGTCTTCTTTCTTCTAAAAGAACTGCATAGAAGAACTGCATTTCTGAAAAAAAAAAAAATGTCGACTTCGATTTAATCTGTGGTGTACATGAAAGGTATTGCCATTCAGTCTTGCAGGCAGTCAAGAATCAAAGAAGGTGCTTTTATAATCAAAATATATAGATTTAAACTCAGGTCCCTCTTCTCACAGATTCTGTGACCTTGGGGAAGTTAATTAACCTCTCTGAGGCTCAGTTTTTTAAACTGTCAAATGAAAAAAGTTAAAAAATAATAACCTCAGAGAGTTTTTACAAGCATTTATCACATGAAGGTGCTTAGTGCAATACCTGAAATATAAGAACTCAACAAATTATAGAGACATTATTTGATAAATATACATACATTTTATGTATAAATATATTTCATTCATGTATATGCTTTTAAGTATATTACATATGTGTATATATACGTGTGTGTGTGGAGATAGACAGAAGATACAACATATTTTTAACTTTCTAAATCTTAGGCTCTCACATGTTGGAGAAGGGGAAATGCTTGGCTAGGAAGACTGGCTGTAATAAATAGAGTTCCTTTTTCGTTTGGGGGCAGGTTAAATTTTTTATTTTACTCACAATCAACAAAAGAACCAGCTAGATATTATAACCAGTTAAAAAGAGAATTATTCAAAGAACACACTTACCGAAGAGGAATATTGAAATAAACGTGCAAACTGAGGCGAAACTGGGCCAAAAATTGCAGACATACTAAAGAGGCCTAAGTTTGCTTTGCTACCACTGCATTTGCCTTCTTATCATCAGATTTGCTTTGCTATGTCCCACAGCTTACACAGTTGTAAAGCAGCTTCCATAGAACAGGAACCAAATACACTGAAGGAGTCTACCCTGGTACCTAAATACTGCATAGTTTTCCATTAACACACAGCATTTCCCTACACACACATAGTCGCTAAAGTATAAAGTTTTTATTTTCTGTTTTGTAACTATAAGGTAAACCTAACCTTTGTTCCAGTATAATAAAATACACAAAAGTTATATTACGTAAGATAACTCTAAATCAAAATGTCACAGAGTTACAGAGGGGGTGAGGCATTTGCAGAGGTCGAATCCCTTGCAGAGCTCTTTCTTAACCAGATCCTTTCTGTCTTGATTACTGGCACCTGAACTGCTTCGGCGCTGACGCCAAAATCTCGGGAGGCCTTCCCGACCAGGTCTTCTCCCTCGTGCTACACGTCCAACCTGTTACCTCATGCTTTACTTCCACTGCTTGTCTTAAATCCAACCGGTTCACTCTATTTTAAATTTTTTTTTTTTTTTTTTAATTTTAGAGGGAGAGGCGAGGAGAGGGAGAGAGAGGAAAACATCGATGAGAGAGAAACGTCAATCGGCTGCCTCCCACACAGTTCACTCCACTTTTATTGCCCCCTATCTAGGCCAAGCTTGAATCATTTATAGAGTTTCTTTGGGGACTTTTGTCTGTCACTGTGAACTCAATGCTTAGCTCTTATGGCATTCAAATTAAATTACCACTGCCTGCACACCGAGGGACATAGCATGAAGCCTGTGTTTCACATCAGGTAGATCGAGTGTTTACTTGAGTATAAATCTAATATAATCCTCAGAAAAGCCAGGTGTGTTTCCTGTCTGAAACTGTGGTGATGCAGTTCCAGGTGCTATGCAGAGCACTGAATGTATGAATTGCCTTGTGTTGAGTTTATCTTAATTAGACTCTACCTCTCTCCCTAATCCTGAGCAACCTGATGTATTTTTTTTGTCTCTTGATTTTAATCATGGAAAATAAAATGGGAAATACCTGAAGCTCTAGTATCCCTTTTGCTATTACACTGACAGAACGTATATTCAGATTTGCCTCCAAAATTTCTTTTATAGTTCTGTCAAAATTGTTGATAACAGCTATTTAGTTATTATATGCTCAACAGAGAATTCACCAAAAATTCTGAATTTTAAAAATGGGGGAAAAAAAAGCAGATGCTCTCAAGGCCCATCCATGCTGCCACAAAGGGTAAGATTTTTCTCTTTTTTTTTTTTTTATAGCCAAGTAGTATTCCAGTGTGTAAATGTCCCATAGCTTTTTTATTCACTCATCTATTGATGGACACTTGGGCTGCTTCCAAATCTTGGCTATTGTAAATAATGCTGCTATTATGCTAAGTGAAAGAAACCAGTCAGAGAAAGACAAGTACCATATGATTTCACTCATATGTGGAATCTAATAAACAAAATGAACTAACAGGCAAGATAGAGACAGACTCATAGAGAGAGAGCAGGCTGACTGCCGATGGTGGGCTGGGGGAGGGGGGAGGGATTGATCAATAAAGAAAAAAAAGGAGATGAAAACTCATGGACACAGACAATAGTGTGGTGGTTTCGGGGGGTGGGAAGTGGAGGAAGGGAGAAGTGGAGGAGGACATGGGGGGTAAATGGTGATGAACAGAGACTTGACTTGGGGTGGTGAACACACAATACAGTGTACAGATGATATTTGGTAGAATTGTGCACCTGAAACCTGTATAATTTTGTTAACCAGTATCACCCCAATAAATTCAATAAAAAGAGGAGAAAAAGTGAAAAAAATGGGTTACATTGTGGTGATAGTTGCACAATTCTATTAATTTACTACAAATCATGAATTGTATACTCACAATGGGTGAAAATTTTATGGTTATGTACATTATATCTCAACACAGCCTTTTTATAAACTGGTTTAAAAAAAAGCAGAAGCAATTGTATACCCAACATAAACAGTACTAATGTTTAAATATGCAAATGAACATAAAAATAACACATGCTTTTCTGTTGTTTTGATAGAGAATAAAAATACTTCAACAGCAGTCTTTTCAAAATCTATTTGTGCAATGAGCAATTTGATTTGTGTCTGGACTTCACAGGAAGTTCCCTTACTTGAACTTGGCTTGGAGGTTTGACTGAGTAAATTATTCCTTGACTTCTACATTATTCATCTTGGCTGCATGACATGCAAATCACCCTGCTCTCACTATGTCCAGAGGCGCAGCACTGGGGCAGAAGCTGCTGGCAAAGTTGCTGGCAAAGGATTTCTGTCAAGGGACCAGGACCTTCCAACAGAACAGTAAGTCGTAATGTAACTCCTGTTGCCCAGGTATATAAAGTAGTGACAGACCTCCCGCTTGTTAGGGGTTTCTTTGAAACGTGGCTTGTGTGCAGTTAAGGTTTAAAGCAATGTTTCAATGAACTGTCTGAACTGTTGTTCATCTGTACATGTAGGACAGGAAAAGAAATTAAAAGGAAGTCATAATTTTTCCTTTACATTTATTTTTAACAAATGCAATGTCTTGTTTTAATTGCCAAATATTAAATTTATTTTATTTAAAGAGGTTCATTATATTTGCTTATGTCCTGGTACCTTATATTTCATCAGAAAAAGTAATGAGAATTGCTTAAATGAATATAACTACTTGAAAAAAATTAAAGTTTCTAAATCACATGAAACAACTATCATGTATATGTTTAGAAATTAATGGTGCTAGAGGAAATTTTGAAATTTAAATTTAGCAATTATGTTTGTTAAAATTGCATTATTCAAGAATATAACTCACTAAGGAAAAACTGAAAATTGCAGAAACCATTGCTATTATGCCTTCCAAAACTTTTTATAATTGGTAAGATATTTTTAAGAAATTCACAGGCACATAATTTGACACCATACTATAATATTTTAATACTTTGAATTCTGGTGTAATTTCTGCAATACATAAAGCATAAGTCATCAATATTAAATTATTATATATATTCACTGTGAATATATCCTTTATTCAAGTGGTTTATTAATGAAAACAGAAATTTGGTAAAAATAAAACTCATATTACTGTGTAAATTTGACTTAATAAAGCAGTTAAGAATTAATATGTTACAAATGTTCTTTATTATGATGAATATAAGAAAAAATAATTTAGAAGTTATTAAATTATCAAATATGTTTTTTAATTTCAGTTTTTAAAATGTACACCTTTAAAGGGCTGAATATAATCAAAATGAAAGAAATATTCTCAAGTTAAAATTAAGAACTGGTATGTGAGTAAATTCAATATTGCTTGTAGTTTAATAATTCTAACAGGTATAGTTTCACTTTAATTGCCAATATTTAAAAAGCAAAGTCCTGTTAAAAAATAATTCATTCAAATCATATATAACCCATTTATTACAAATTTTATTTTCTAACAATTAAAAATCCAACTACTAGAAAGTGAAGAGAGAATATTAATTTTTCAATGGGGAATTTTGCTTAAAGGATCAGCTTATTTCATCAATTTGTAGAAACTAAAAGCACACTTAACTACAAATATCACCCAACTTGGAATCTATTACTCTGGACCTTGTGGATCCTGGTGAGGTTAAACTGGTTTGCAAATATTAGACAGCCTTACATTTATAAAACCACAACTTATTTATATTATGGACTTAGGAATAATATTTTTAAATAAATCTATCAAAAACAGATATAAAAAACATCACATTTCTATAAAAATAAATTCAAATAAATATTAAGCTATAGGAGGGTATCCAAATATTAGGAGTCATTGGTTTTCAGAAATTTTTATTTCTTCCTTTTGCCTATCTGCATTTTATGAGCGTTACATAATAAAATGTTTTTGTGTTTAAAAAAAAAAAAAAAGAGTGAAGTAAGCACTCTGAGAAGCAGGACAAAGTTGACTAGCCATTCATTTTCTTAGTTCAGCCCTGATATTTTCTATCTCTAGTATCTCTCTAATTTCCAATCCCAGTGGACAACTCAAAGGCAGAAAAATTCTCCATGGCTTCAACGCAGCCCCAGCCTTGCCCGAGTGCTAGCTATTGGTAATCTGCCTTCTAGTTATAGTCCACAGAGTTGTATTTTTTCCTTCATGGCAGTCAAACCTTTCTGCTGCACGTAAGCTACTGACAAATCAGTACAGTGCGTTTAACAACTGACTAGGCAAAAAGCTAAGGCTTGTGAGTAGAAAGTGGAAACTGAAAAATGAAACAAGTTTTTGGTCCTAAGAAAACTCTCTATTGTCTTAATATTCACTTGAGCGTGTGTGCTAGTTTTTTGAGTATTCACAAAATAACAGAGTTGCCCAGAACCGAGCTTTGAAGAACTGCAGCATGTCAAGCCTGGGCAAACAAGAATTAGGCCACAAAAAAGGCAACAAAGAGAGAAAGGAGGACCACAGGAGGCTGCCCTGTCATTGACGGCAAGGAAGAGAGTGCTTCCAGAAGTCGTGTAATTGAAAGCAGCTAGGAATAGAGTTTGAAGCAATAGTGAAAAGTTATCATTGGTCTAAAAAATAAGGGCTATTATTTTAAAAATATCTTTTAAAAAAATTAACCTTTTTCTTGTATTTCTAAGAATTTTTAATTTTTAATATTATCAAATACATGTTGATGTAGGGAAAATAAAATAGCAGATAAATCAAAAGGAGACTACACACTATAAAAATCATCTGGAATCTTATCACTACTGATAAAACTATTAATACTTTGGTACATGTCCTAGTCTTTCTATTGCTTATTAATTTTAGATGTGCATTCGTAAGTCTTTAATTATCCTAAATTTTTTAAAAGTGATCCTAGAAAATATATATTACATTTTTCTTTCTAAAAATGTGTGTCTGAATCACACCTACCACTATTACAATGGCCATTTTTGATTAGTCATATTATTTGCAGTGTCAGCTTTTATTGTAAAATAGAGCAATGGGTTTAAGTTGGTGGGCTTACTACTTATCTGATCATGGAGAAAATATTTATAAAAATATTTTCTAAACAGTCAAGCGTTTATATTTATCTCTTCATTCAGCAAGCATTTACAGACCATCGGCTATCCAGTAGTCACTGTGCCAGGTATAGATCAACTCTGAGGAAGATCAAGTTGAGAGAAGAGAGCATAAAATGTAAGGACCTAATTTACACGGATGGGTCAGAGAGGCAGTCTGGAGAAACACCCACTTGAACTGATATCTGAAAGAAGTGTAGGTATAAGGCAGAATGTGGCAAGAACCACAGAGGGGACCGTCAGTGAAAAGAGGTTCAGTGAAAGTCATCTGTACATTCAAGGAACAGGGAGGAAGGACAGCAAGGAGGTGAGTAATGCCAGGTGGAGTACAGGAGACAGATCCTGCAGGCTGTGCAGTCCCCTAAAGATTTTGGAGTTCATTCCTTAGATAGTGGAGAGTCATTGAAGCGTTTTGGTTGAGGAGTGTAATGTGATCAGAATTTCGGCTGTAGTTTTGAAAGATTGTTTAGCTGTCATGTTGAAGGCCGACTGAAAGGGAGATGGAGATGTGAGGAGACCGTAGGAGGATATGGAACAGTCCAAGAGAGATGGTGGTGGCCTGGACTAGGACGATGATGAAGGAGCGGAGCAACAGAAATGCACTGAGACATATCCATATGTTATAGTCTACGAGACTTGGTAGTTTATTTGTGATCAGAGGTAAGCTATAGGTGACTTCAAGGATGTCATTATATTTCTAAAATAAAATGGCCTGGGGAAATGGTGGGGCCATTGATCGAGTTAGGTGGAGGTACAGCAGAATCAGGAAGGAAGCTGAAGTTTAGTGTAGGATTTCTGGAGGCAGAGGTGCCTGTGAGTGATGTACCAGTGGCAGTAAGTATAAACAACTACAGCTTATAAGACAGGTCCAGGCTGAGATACAAGTTTGAGAGTCATTGATATGGGTGATCATTAAAGCTAGAAAGTGGATGAGATCATTCATGCAGCATCTAGATAAAGAAGTTCAGTACTGAGCCTTGAGGAACTCAACACTTAACACTTAGCTCATGAAGGCTTAGGTCACAAAAGAGCCTGAAAAGAACAAGGCAAAAAAAGAAGAAAAATTAGGAAATTATCGTTTCATAGAAGGTGAAGGAAGAGAGTGTTTCCAGAAGTTATGGTATAAAAAAGTAGCTGAGAAGTCAAGAAAGAAGACTAGTGGGAAATGACCATTGGGCTGAGCAAAGTGGAAGCCGTTTTGGTTGAGTGGTGGGTCAGAAGTCAAATTGGAGTAAAGGGAATGGGATGTCAGGATATCAAAACAATTAGTGAGGACAGTTATTTTTGTTTATCAAGCTATGACAATGAGAGAAACATTTGGAACCAGGGAGAGTTGTTTATGTCTGCTCTTGATTTTTAAGACAAGAGAGAGTGTTTATATCCTGATGGAAAAGATGTAGCTGAGCAGGAGAAGCCTGAAGAGACAGGAAAGAGAGAGGATGGATAACATAAAACAATCTTGAGAATTTGGGAATAAGTTGGATCTGGAGTAAGTCCGGAGGAACAGACATTCTCTGTTGTCATGGGAAGGAAGGAAGAGAGGACAGGTATGGAGGCAGGAACCAGAGAGTGGACATCTCATGAATGGGCTCTACACAGGATACTTGATGACAGAGCATCTGCTAATGATAAGTAGGGCAGAGTAGGTGGAAGAGGCTTGAAAATTTGGAAGAGATGAAATTGAGAAATGTGATAAATTGCTGGAGATGTGAGAGAGCAATAGAATCAGATAAGCTTTAAGATGGAGTGAAGCCAACCTGCTCAGTTCAGCAGGGTGCATGTGCCTGCTGCCTGGGGAAGTTTCTATGCAGCTTTGTCTAGAGTTGGACTCAGTGGGAGGTTGCCATGGCAAGACTTGAGGAGAGGCTCAGAGGAATTTAGGATGTTTTAAAGAGTGATTAAAAATAACATCAAAATATTGAATTTGTCATATCTACAGTTCCATGAATTATTTTCATAAACAAAACACTCCCAAAACATCAGCAATCTTTTACTGAAGTAGACCACTTAAATTTGACAAAAGTAGATATGAGTTTTCCAGATGCCTTCATGATAGTGAATTCTGCTCAATGTTTGCATGTTTCCCAGAGAAAGCAGTTCAGGCCACTTGATGTTATTTTGCTCTATTAACCAAAATACGATATTGAAAGAAACATTTGATTGCAACAACTAACACTCAGAGTTCTAGTTGATGAAGAGATTTTTGGAAAATTTTATTTTCTATCTTACTTTTCTCATCACTAGAAAGAAGTAGGATTCAGTATTAACAATGGCAAGTCATTACATTTTTAAGAAATTCAAGTTCTTTAAGTACCCTACTCAACCACCAACGATCTGTTCTTATAGGAGAAAGCATGTCAGGTGAGCAACACATATGAGGTTTGAATGAATCAGGGTGCTTACTTTCATGACCCCTATTCAGAAGATGCTACGATGGATGTCTTTTACTAGATGTATGACCTAAGGAAGATGTTTAATTTTTCAAGCCTTGGTGACTTCATGTGTGAAATGAAAATAAAAACAGACCCCACCTCATTATTAAATGAGATAGTTCTTGGAAAGTGGTGAGTAAAGTGCCTGGTACACGATAAGCTTTCAGTTAATAGTGGCTGCTATTGTTATTAAGATTTTCAACTTTATATTTTAAATTGTAAAAAATGATGTTTTAAAACTGGATTTGCATTTCACAAATTTAGAATAAGCATAATACATTAACAATATAGAAACAAAGTAAAAGCTGTTAAGATATTAAGGCTGAAATGATAACAATCCTTGTTTCCTCTTCTAGATTATGGTTCGATCTAATTTTACTCAGCAGAATTTGTCAAACAACTACAATATGCTGGGGACCATGGTAGGTCCTGGAGACTTTCCTCTTTACTCGCTTCACTTTCCACTGGCCTCTGCAGTTTTTCAAATCCTCTATGTGTGTTTCCATCTCAGGGCCTTTGCACATGCCTTTCCCTATGTCTAAAATACTCTTTACCATATATGGGGTGGGGCAAAAGTAGGTTTACAGTTGTGAGCATGTGGAACACAGAGTTTATTCTTATATTATTATTAATTATTGTATTATTTCCCATATAAATAACTGTAAACTTACTTTCGCCCCACCCTGTATGGCATGCACTCACTTTTTCATTTCCTGATTCTTCTCAAGAGATTATAAATTGTTTGAGATTAGAAACTTTCACTCACTGCTGTTATTCTCACTGTCTAGCCCATAGTTCAAAGGGATCAATAAGTATTTTTAAAAATATTACTGACATATATATGTATGTATACATATGTACTCCTTACTAATGTAAACCACTCTCCATATAGCTCAACTTCTAAGTATTATTTTATAATTACTATTATGCTAAGTGCAGTTATGTCTTTAGTCATAGCCTAGAGTTTCATCCTTACATTTTCTCTCTCTTCTTTAGGCATGGAATGCATCTTGCAAAAACTGGCTGGTAGCAGAGGCTGCCCTGGAAAAGTACTACCTTTCCATTTTTTACGGGATTGAGTTCATCTTGGGAGTCCTTGGGAATAGCACTGTTGTTTTTGGCTACCTCTTCTGTCTGAAGAACTGGAACAGCAGTAACGTCTATCTCTTTAACCTCTCTATCTCTGATTTGGCTTTTCTGTGCACACTGCCCATGCTGATGAAAAGTTATGCCCATGGAGAATGGACATATGGCGACGTGCTCTGCATCAGCAACCGATACGTGCTGCATGCCAACCTCTACACCAGCATTCTCTTCCTCACTTTCATCAGCATCGATCGCTATCTGCTCATGAAGCATCCTTTCCGAGGGCACCTTCTGCAGAAGAAAGAGTTTGCTGTTTTAATCTCTTTGGCCATTTGGGTTTTGGTGACCTTAGAGCTCATGCCCATGCTGCCTTTCATCAAGCCCATTACTATGGACAGTAACACCAAGTGTAATGATTATGCAAGCTCTGGGGACCCTAAACTCAGCTTCATTTACAGCATGTGTCTAACCTTCTCCGGATTCCTCATTCCCCTTTCTGTGATGTGCTTCTTTTATTTCAAGATCGCTGTCTTCCTAAAGCAGAGAATCAGGCCGCAGGCGACCACTTTGCCCTTTGACAAGCCTCTCAACTTGGTCGTATTAGCAGTCGTGATCTTCTCTGTGCTTTTCACTCCCTACCACATCATGCGGAACGTGAGAATTGCTTCACGCCTGTGGATGCAGCCCCAATGTACTCAGGCCATCATCCACTCTTTGTACATTGTGACTCGGCCTTTGGCCTTTCTGAATAGTGTCATCAACCCTGTCTTCTATTTCCTCGTGGGAGACCAATTCAGGGAGATGTTGACAAATAAACTGAGGCACCACTTTAAATCCCTTACATGCTTTAGAAGATGAGCTGGTGGACTAACGTTTTCAATCAGAGAAGCGTGAGGTTCCTGTGGAACAGAACGCTTTAAACAAGCAGTTGTAGACCAGTTAGAGTTTGATTAACTCATAGATGTAAACCAGAGTGGGTCACAGATCCACCAGCGGCTTAAAGACATGCTGTACCCAGAGCACATAGAAAGAAGGGGATGAGAAGCATGTATTTGTTTGTTCATCTACAGGTTGAAAAAAGTTGGACTAGCTTGAATGTTTGGGCATGTAAGTCCAAAATCCTAGGTGTCATAAAACCTCAATCAATGTAAGAAGCAGCAAGCTGTCTGCATTTAATCATTGGTCAGATTGTAAAAAGAAATTGTTTTGGCAAAATTCTGTTATTCTTATTCATATTATCCTATAATTTGACATGAGAATTGAACAGCAGATTATACATACATTATTAAGTGTTGTTAGAAGCTGTGCTCTTGCCCTGGCCAGGTGGCTCAGTTGGTTAGAGCATCATCCCAATACACCGAGGTTGTGGGTTCAATCTCCGGGCAGGATATACACAAGAATCAGCCAATGGATGCATAAATAAGTAAAACAACAAATCAATGTTTTGCTCTCTCTCTCAAATCAATACTTTTTTTAAAAAAGTTGTGCTCGTGCTCAGCCAGCCTGGCTTAGTGGTTGGGCATCGATTTATGAACAAGGAGGTCAGGCTTTGATTCCGGGTCAGGGCCCATGCCTGGGTTCCATTCTCGGGGGGGGGGGGCAT